CCTATGATGAAAATTACAGGCCTCTCTCATCTTTTTAAGTGGGAGAACTTGCCACAATTGGTGGCTGACTAAATACTTTTTAAGTGGGAGAACATGCCACAATTGGTGGCTGACTAAATACTTTTTAAGTGGGAGAACTTGCACAATTGGTGGCTGACTAAATACTTTTTTGCCCCACTGTATATATCAAATTTGTCACCACCCATCTCATTGAAATGACTCTGGGCAGTTTATAGCAAAAATAAAAATCGTTAAAATATACTATAAAACAGACCTAATAATAAATAGCTTCCGAGCAAGATGGAAAGTTGGGAAATAATTCAAGGGAGTGTCGTCGGAGTGCTAACCACCCCCAAAGCCCATATTGCCCCATGAACACTGGCAGAGTCAGAGCTTTAAACCTTTTCAGAAAGCTGGGAGCATAGGGGCCCATTGCACCTCTGGGGGGAGAATATTCCAAAGGGTGGAGGCAATGGCAGAGAAGGCTCTCTTCCTGGGCCCTGCCAGCTGACATTCTCTCACTGATGGGGTCCGCAACATGCCCTCTCTGCCTGACCGGGTGGGACAGGTTGATGTAATGGGGATGAGACGGTCGCTCAGGTAATTTAATTTTTCAGGTAATCATTTTGCCCAAAAATAAAATATGTGAGACTGGCCCATGAATATTTGAGGCTGGCCCATGAATAGAAAGATCTTCTGGCAGGGATGCATCCCACGCTCATCACAAATCATCTCCCTTAATAATGGGGCCAGTCCCAACCGAGCTGATTTAATCAGCCAGGTAAAGGCAAGGGACAAGCATGTGATGTCTCTCATCCCTCCACAGATCTTATTCACATCCTCAAGATTTATAAGCTGAAATGTATCTAAATGAAGTGATGTCAGTGTTAACTCCATATGACCTACCCAACATGGAAGTCCAAATCAAATAAATCTGATCATTTTTGTCCAGAAAGAATGATAAGAATTTCTCACAATGAACTTAAAATTGTTCTGGCTTCCTGTACCTAATCTTTTGGTTCAGGAAATGCTGCTTGGTATAGAAAAGCATCTCCAGCATGTTTTGTGCAGTCTTAATGGAGCCAGTGAAATGACTTTGCTCCACCACCTCTATCATGGAGTAGGATTTCAGTTGTGCCTGAAAGAGGAGCCCACTCCATGTTTGGTTCAATTTGCCCTATGAGTTCCTTCATTTGTGCTGCGACCCTCTACCAATTGTTTCATGGCATTCAGTTCCCTAGTAAACCAAGATGCTATTTGAACTATGCTAGAGGGAAGAGGATACTTGAGAGTATACTGTCAATCACCTGGGCCATCTCCATATTCCACAGATCGGCTAGAGCTACAAAATATTACCTAATTACACACCCTCCAGTCCCAGCCTGCTGCATCATAGTGTGTCCAGACAGACAAGACTTGGAAAGATTAATTCCAGATCAGCACTTTCATGTAATATTAAATCCTCAATAACAGAAGATTTACCAGCTATTAAAAAGCAGTATCTGTGGATTATATGCACCATCACCTAGACGCTACTGGTTAGACTATTACATGAAAGGGACACTGGGGACCAGCCTAACTTCCTTCCCATTAACTTCCAAGTTGCAGCCTCCCACCATATTTCCTAGAGTTTTCATGTATTTCCATACATTGAACTATTTTTACGTGAAAGCAACAGCATGTTCCTATATCTATATGACAGCACGGTAGTTAACAGAACCCGTTTTTAAAGTAACAAATCTGAGGATGATACACTAAGTAAATTAAGCAAAACAAAATGTTCATACTATATCAGGAGGCAAACATTTTTCATATTATATCTTTTCAAGTTTGTGGAGTTTGCTCATGGCTTCCAAGTTCCATAGCTTTTCAGCTGCTAATATTTCATATTAAAATATTTAACATTATTCTCTCTCTTACTCTTGCTCTTTTTTTAAGAACTAACATATGAAGAAGTGATCAGCTTTAAACCACCCGACTTGAAGATGGATAGCCTTGAAATTGAACAATAAATCCAGACTCCTCTTTTTGCTATGCTTTACTATGAAGACTATAAAACATCTAGCATTGCAATTCAATTTCATATATGACAAGCATAGATTTTACTGTCCAAAGATCTTGGAAAAGCTACAGAAATGCAAGCAGACCATTCTGAAGAAACATATATTGGGGAGGGGATTGCCTTGTACTACGAATGTAATAATTGCAGAACATTAAGAACTGCTTCATTCTGAAAAATGATGCACTGAGGTTTGTCTTTTTAAACTTTGTCTTCTCTGCATGTCCCCAGTGTGATGCCAAAAATGGTGTGTTTTTTTTTTTAAAAAAGATTATTTTCTCAAATTGTACAGTTCACGCATGAATGTATGTGGAGACAAAAATAGAAATCCATAGAAGCAATTTCTTGTTTTTAAGCATTATGATGTTTGTTTTTTTAATTTATAGTTAGTGCCTTTAGGAAAAGGAGCCAGTGTGGTAAATTAGGAATAAAATATACCTGTAGTTATACCTGTAGCAGTTTTAAGGACATGAGTGAGCAACGGTTACAAATCAGTCAAATTTATTGTTTCCTGATAGCATTGAAGTTTGTCGTTGTTTCTCCTGTAGTCCTTGAAAAGTGCAGGGCACATGTTTTATTGGGGAATTTTGCACTACATTGGTCCACAACATAAAATCTGGAGGAATGGAGTTTATCTTACATGCTTGAGCTCTTTTGAAGATCAAACTCTCTGCTAACACACTTTTTTCTGTAATTTTGCAGTGCCTCTCTTTCCATCTCCTTGTCAATAAACTCTTTCCTTTTCTAAATTCCTGTAGCTTTTGTCTGGCAGCTGCATTTTAATCTAGAACAGCGAATATGGAATGCTGTGAATGGGCTGAAAGAGAAGAAGGTTTGGAGAAATCTTTTTTCATCAAAATATGTTGAACATACCAAGTGGGCAGTCTAGCACATGGTACTAGTGAGCATGGTTACATACAGGTTGGAGCACTATGGCCATTAAGAACATAATGGTTCAAAAGAAGATGCCTTCTGCTAATAACCTTGTGAAGTGGGAACCAAAGGACTTTTAATTTGCTCTTTCTGTTCAGCCTCCTTCTAATATGACTTGTTGGGACTACTTGAGGGAATGCCTGGAGGTTAAGATCTGCAGAATAGCCTTCCTCAGTTCTCTTTCTTTACCCTTGAAAATAAAACTGGAAATATCTGATGGTTAGGGATATCTTCCTAGAGATCCCTTTTGGACAGATTGTAGCAAAAATTGTTGAAATCCAGATTTTTTGATGAGAAGAATGAGCACCAATTATCTTAAAGATATTTATCAGGAAAGGGAACAGCAATGAACAATTAATTCCTACCGCCCCATCCCATTATTTCATTTTCTAAACTTAAAGTAGCAAGCACAATCTAGGCAACTGTTGATTTGATTTAAACACAACAATGATAGAAACCTACTTTGTTGAATAAAATTATAGGCAATTTAATAAGTTTTGTCGAAGGCTTTCACGGCCGGAGTACGATGGCTGGTGTGGGTCTTCCGGGCTGTGTGGCCGTGTTCTGGAAGTTTCCAGAACACTTCCAGAACATGGCCACACAGCCCGGAAGACCCACACCAGCCAATTTAATAAGTTGTTAAATATTAGTTATAGAAGAATAGGTATACTTTATATTAAGCATTTGACAACCACTAACTCTGGTCTTTTGGATATTTAGCATTATCCTTTACAATTTAAAAAAAAAATTGAAGGAAATATCTGCCAGAACATTAAAACCATTGTAATAAGATGGCTTGGAGTTTATTAATGATTTGGGGATATGATTTCACAGCATTAAAATATTTATTCTGGAAGAACTTCCTCTGTCATTGACTCATACAACTGCCTGTTTGTGTCTAACAGACTGATACACATAAATTGGTGATGAATTATTTTTATCGTAGTCTTGGAAACGTCCACCCAAGCCACCTGCTTTGCCCCTGGGATAGGATGCCTAATGGACTTTGGTGCCAGGGGAGGCACCAAGACTGTTCAGGGAGGAAACAGGATCCTTACAGAAGAGATTCTTGAGTCCAGGGGAAGAAGCAGCATGAGAAACAAACAAACTCCACCTTAATTAAACTAGGTATAAGTTGTTCAGGAGAATTCCTTTGGCAGGCTTTCAAGATTCTGTTTACAATACCCTAGTAGTAATCATGAAGATGAAGCACTTTCCAGAAATCTAAGTAGATTTTCTTTGAGTTTGCCTGCCTCAAAGGACTTGGTGCTGCCATCCTGTCCATTGCATTCTGTGCAACAAGCCATCCCTCTGCTTCCCCCATCTGTCTTCCTTACCTGGCTGAGCGTCTCTTCACAAATCAGAGCTGTAATTATTTGGGGAGGAGAGGCACCTGGACAGCTCCTGGAGTCCCACAGGGAAGGAGAGATTTGAGGAAGCAGGGTGAGAACGTTTTCTCACGCAGGGAAGCTCCTGTGTAACTCAAGAGGAAATGCCACAACACAATATTTACAGGAATTCCCCTAGAATAACTGCTGGTCAGCAAGTTAAGTAGCTCAGCTGCAGAAGACCAACAGCATCATGGAGATGGAGAACAGCAATGATCCAAGCTGGTGCAGGAAACCTCTCTGTGTCAAAAACTCCTCTGGCTTACTTAGAGATTTACCTAACCAAGGAAAGAGGGCACATCTGTGTATAGGATTCCAAGTTCCTATTTTCAGCAGAATACTGCTAGAGGAAGGCTTTGTCCTCTTTCTAAATACCCCATAAAGCTCTGCCATGTTCATCTGTACATCTAGACTCATAAGTAAATCTAAACCCAGTTCTGCTCAGTTGATGTATTCCCAATTTTACGTAGGGCAATATATAGAAAGAGTTCTGTTTTGGGGGGGGGGGCATGTTACCCATCTTACCTGACATGTTAAGATTATTTTATTTTGTAGGAATATGCAGGATAAATTTCTACAATTAATTTACACAGCTACATACACAAACACCAAGAAAAAACACATCAAAAGGATGATTTGGATTATTTGATCATTTTCAACCATTGTTGCAAATAAATGAAAACCTTGATAAGAAGGTATATCTTATCAAAACTCTAGTCCTCCTGATGCATTATAAAATGTGGCACATGTTTATTTTTGTTTAGGAATCAGAGCAGTTTGTTGGCCCTGTACCCTACACTAGGCTATGGGGATTGAGGAGCAAGCAAGTTACAAGGCATGCGTTGCATTGTTCCCTGAATATTTCATTTGTACTGTAGGAAACCCACTATCTTCTGCCTAAAGTAGGTGCCTTGCTCTGCCTAAGGTTGGGCTAACCCAGGAGCATTTAGACTGATCTTGTAGAAGGCATAGGGAATGGCCTTGAAGAACAGGAGGAAGAGCTGCTACCAAGGCAACAGATAAGAGGGGCTTGAGCCTAGGCCAAGAAACTAACTTGAGAAAACATGTCAGAAGACCCCTCTATAATTCACACAAAGATAAAATGAGGAAGGGGGAAGCACATTCAGACTTGCAAGATTCTATTACTATAGCTGTTACAATAAAAGTACTGATTTATATGGCATTGGTTTCTTAGTCTGGTCTCCCTTGTTGGGCTGACAAATCTCCAGGTAAGCTGATAAGCAGTATTTCGTTTCTGTGTTTTTACATAAGGCAAACAATTGTCAGCCATATGAAGATCAGACTAAGAAACAGACATCATGTAAACCTAAAGCTACTTTTATTAGAACAGCAATAGTATCAGATTCTTACAAGTCTGAATGTGATTCAACCTCCCTCATTTTATCTTCATGCGAATTAGGGAGATCGGGAGCAGACTGAGGTGTTTTCATAAACTACCTTCTTGGCCTGGGCTCAAGTCACGTTTATCTGAGTGTTGTCTTGGCAATGGAACTTCCTTCTGTCCTTTGAGGCCATCCTCTATACTCACTACAATGATTGATGAGAGTAATACAATTCCTTCTGCCTACAATTTATGTTCCAATCACTGTAGAAGATTAAAATATGCTCATTTCAAAGTAAAATGTGAAAGGTTAATTAGGATTTGGAGGTGAAAAATAAAACCATTGCTATTGTTGCAGAGCAAAGTCTGTGACCTAACCTCTTAACTCCGAATGCATTATTATTGATCCAAAGAAATGGCAGTTTTAAATTTCATAGAAATTAATAGGATTGGAGAAAGTTGTGATGAAATTGTCCTGTTGATTTTAATGAGTCTTAGAGGCAACTAATTTATTCTGCATTGGGGATAATAAATTTAATGGAATTCTTTTCAAAATTATGATGCTTAGTATTAAATCTGCACTTATTAACTTGTAATATTATAGATGTAAATGTCATTGATCAATGGGGCTGACTTCTAATTACAGCTCCAATTTTCTGTACTTGCTTGGAAATAAATCTATTGAAATAAGATGAAATTACTTGTGCAAACATATTCACGTTGGGCTGTGCATGCAGTTGGAAATCATCTTTTTTAAACTGACAAGCATGTGTATACACACACCCAAGCGATAGTAAAACATATTTCTTACTGTGTTTAAGTATTACTGTCAGTTAGCAAATGAATTCACTCTTCTACTGAATTGATTTAATTTTTCCGTTTATACGGTGCCTTTCTTCTAAGGAGCTTAAAGTAGCCTCTGCAGAGCTTATTCTGCAACAGTCCTGTAGGAGAAAGAGACTAGGCTGAGAAAAAGGGACTGATGTGAAATCACCAAGTGTGATATGAAATCATAGCCAAGTGTGAATTGAACTTCATTTTTCCACAGCTTCTTTTAAAAACTTTATTTAGCAATAATACAGCAATAGCAGATGGATAGATTCATTCCCCTCTTTTAAAAGGTATATCAACAATGCTCTGTGCTTGGGTTTTTTTTTTTTTTGGTCTTATTATAATCCTTTTATTTAAAACAAAGGTGTGTTTTCAAAAAAGATAGGGTCTATGAATGAACACATGATTACTGAAGTCATATAATTATGCTCAATATAACATCAGTAAAAGATACTAAGCAGAGCGTATTGTTTTTATGATATAAAAAAATATAAATTGTTTAGCTTTATGCCAAGATCTCCACTATATTATTGTTTATAAATATTAAAAAAAGAAAAACCCTAAAAATAATACAGGTAAATACTTAGTTTCTGACTTCGCCGTTCTTTGTACTACAATCAATTTGCAGTACCCAATGGTGTAAGTTTTAGAAATCATACTCTAAATGTTGGTATTTACCTTGCTGCATAATATATAATATGGAATCCATTCTTGCTTATTTCCATGGCTGTTTTGACACCTTAACCTACCGGGATTGTAAACAGCACACTAGAGTCAGGGGTGTCCAGAGGTGTGATCAAAAAAGTCAATATGGTGGCTGCGAGAGTGCAATCAAAGCTTTGCCCATAACAAATCACAGCTCCATAACAAGCCATCTTGACTTCATTGACCACACCTGTGGACATCCCTGACTTGAGTTCTAGGTTTACAGAAAGAAGTACACAACAGAGCCATCAGTTCCCCTTTGAGATCTGGGCCAGGTCAGACATTCTGGCCAGCATGGGCAAAGTGAAGAAGGTAAAGTCCTGGGTTAGCAACATCTGTACAGCTACAGGTTCCTCTCCCTTTATTAAAAGACAAAAACAAGATCATAAAACCAATTTTATTGTAAGGAAAGCATCTCTGATAATGCAGTGAAAAAGCTTGGGCTTTTGTTAACAGAGCAAAAAGAGGAAGAAGACTCTCAAAAGGGCAAACTCCACATCTTCCTCAAAGCCAGTGAGGAGCATGAAGTGTGTTACTCAGCTGCATGGTGTGCCGTTTTTGAAATGCCTCTAAGGTGAACTCGCATGAGAACAAGACTAAATAAGCCAGTCTCAGTATCTTGGCAGGATTTGAAGGCAGCTGAGCAAATGCCTCTACTATATTCCATCAGGAGTTAAAAATTAATTACTCACAGGTAAATGGAGAACTCTGCCAATGCACACTGACACAGCCATGTTTAGAAAAGTGGTCAAGGTCATTAAGCAGAAATTACTCTGCTGAAAGCATATTTTTCAATTATACAATGCATGTAGCAAATGCACTTTGATTATTGGTGCTTCTGATATAATATTAAAATGTAATCGATTTGGAGACCCCCAAAACCTGATCTACTTCATTCACAGCAGCAGCATTCAGCTGTAGTTACTATACTGTAATAGCACACTAAATCACAGCTGAAAGATTCATGCAGATGTAAATTTAAATATTCACCTTCCTAACCCTTTCCCAGGGCATCCACAGTGCACATTAAAAAAGGCATGGCTTCAATCATGCAGCCAGAGATGCCCCCTTGACTTTTTTTTAACTCCCCCACCCCACCCCAAACATCCCTGCCCTGTTCCCTGCACTCAGTGTAAGATCTTAGATGGACAGAATCATCCACATATAAAAAGCATACAAATAAAGAACTATGAGATCTCTTGGAATAAATGTTCCATATCAACACCATACCAAGTGGGAAGCTTGCTTTCATAGTTAACCACAGCTGGCCCTGGGTTATGTTGGTAGTTTAGAGAAGTAGGAGGAAAATGTTCACAGGAATTCCACTTTTCATGTGGAATTAGGTCTTCCATAGAACCATATTGTTGGAAGAAGTCATTTAGGCCACCTAGTCAAACACTGACATCCGTGCAAAAATCCAAATTAAAACATCCCTAACAGCCTCTACTAACGTAACCAGTAAATGGAATCCCACCACTTTCCTCTGCAACTGGTCCAGTCAAACTGCTCTTATTTGTAGAAAGTTCTCCACAGAATTCAGTTGCCTTCCTGCCATTTAAATCCATGCTTCCACATCCTATTCTTTGGGATTATAGAGAATAACTGTTGTGTCAGCTTTTTACACTTTTTGATAAACTCCAAAAAGTGAATAAATGCAAGAAAAGTAAAGACAAACTCTGAAATGCAGAGAAACCTCATGGTTGAATATTTCACTCTCTTTGGACATGTGATCCTTGTCTTTCAAGGTTACTATCCTTACACAACAAAGAGATTTGTGTAAACTTAAAAACTAAGGAATGATTGCAAATACTATTCAGATAGAGACAACTGCACTGGACTTACACAGTGCTAACTTCGGTTGGCAGGTTACAGCTTCCTGGAAATAATGGGGCGGGGGGGGGATGCAGAAAACAGTTCTCTATTAAAAGGCACCCTACTACTGGAATTCACAACAAATTTGACCATTCTCTAGGTCACCCTAGAAGGATTAGAAATATACCTCCTCTTCTTAGCATTTCTCCTGCTTCATTGCAGGGTTACCTAACAGCAAATTGGCAGTTCATTCAATATATCCCTGATCTAAAGCTATGCAAAACAGCATAGTGAACATAATCTCTGCTAAAGAAATATCACAGACTACAGATGGAAGGTCCTCCTACACAGATTTTGTTTTGTACTTCTGTTATCTCTAGCTCTTGCTTTCCTATTGTCTATGGTTACTCAGACTTCTTAGCCCACTACATGCATATCTTGAAATACAATGTTTGCTAGGGGGAAAAAAAGGCTGCAATCAAACTCAACCCCAGCTCGTGTCATTTTCTTGGTAACGATATAGAAAGCTGGGTTTTCAGCTTCAGGTCTAATTTATCTTCCCAGCCTTGATAAGATCAGTCAGATGCTTCCACTGTTATTTTGCTGGCTGGAAAACTGGTAACAAATAGAGCCACTGTAATTTCAGGAGTCTGGTTGCCAAAGACCAACTTTACTGAAGCAGTTGTTCACCCATCGTGTTCTGTTCCTTACTGTACACAGACAGGATTGTTTTAGGATGTTCTATTTTTTGCTCTGTTAGAACTAGTACTGGCATGTAAGCCCAGAGGTATAATAGGAAATAGGTCATGTTGCCAGTACTTTGTATGATTGCTCTTCCACATCCCTCAGAAAACTGTCTGCTTGAGACAGCGTGAAGTCAACCTTGGCATGGGTAGACTTCTGGGGCCATCTGGAATTGGGGTTAATCCTCTTAAGCAGCAAGTCACCGCAGCTATGCCTTAATGGAAATCCTTGATGGATTATCAGGTAAGGTTCCAGGAGTTTCGTTTCGTTTGCTTGTTTTTTTGCATCTCACAAGCAAGCTCACTGTGAATTAAGTATGACATGCCCAAACAGCTTTCTTCTTGGTGAAGGAATCACTCAAGGCAAGGTGTACAAAGGAACTTTTGCCAATATCCAGTATTTATGGGTGAGTTACCTCTAAGCTTTATTCTTAAGCAAGCACTGGGGGAAAAGATAAGAGCCGAGCCTTTCCCTCTCTAAGTTATCCTGTTTAGGAAAAACCAAAGCAATAGGAGGTTACCTCCTATTTAACAAGTCTAGGCGGGAGAACACCGTTTGGGTGATTAAGATGGTTCATGGGCTATACTTATAATTGATACCCAGACATTTATAGAGATGGTAGAGGGAAGATTGATAAACTGTAAGCAAATGAAAAATAGCAAATTCAGCTGCATTAGTAGATACCTTCAGGGGTATGTATGTATGTATGTATGTATGTAGGTATGTATGTATGTATGTATGTATGATGTATAAATCAAATTTATATCACCGCCCAACTCCCCCACAAGGAGGGACTTTGGGTGGTTCACAACCAAACAGTTAAAACCAATAAAAACAAAAATAGTACAGCATTGTGGTACTATCTGGTACAATAGTACAGTATGGTGTAAAAAAAAACAGTGACATGGCAACCACGATGGTGCAACTGAAGCTCTGTTTCTTCATGTGTGATGCACATAAAAGGAGGCAGTGCTGCAATCCTACTTGCACAGCTGCCATATTGACCTTTTTCACCATCCCCTATGGACACCCCTGGATACCCTTCTTGATTTTCATTTTCTCTTGGCTATCATTGCTTAATTGAGCTCCCCAGCCCAAGAAATCAGTCTTAGATGGAAGGGGGCATACAACTCGAACATATTTTTGCCTACGTGCTCTCCTGTGGCCATCCCAGAAGTCCCCAATTAACCTCCCTTGTGAAGTCGGCAGTAGAGTATATCATGATTCCTTAGAGCAAGCAAAGCAGACCCTGTTTAAGTAAACTTGGCAGCTCAGTGAATACTGACTCTAGGGTTGGGAAGAGTCTCAGGCATGGCATCCTGTGTACTAGCTTTCCTTTTAATCTAAAGGCAAAGTCAAGCTTGACTCCTGGGGGCTGCATAGATGCGGTTTCCTTGGCATCCTTGTAGCTGAATGAAGTTTGTAATTTCCTTCTTCCCGTGTAACCAGCATCCCTGGAATTCCCAGGCAGTCGTCTCCATCAACGTACTAACAAAGTCTGACCACGAGAGCAGCCATTGTTGGCTGGGTGCTATTGCCACCTGCTGCGGCTTAATCTATAGAGGCCAATAACCAAACTTATTGGCTGTGTTCACATGATATTCTCCCAAGGCAAACAGGTTTGACATCAAGACCCCAAGCAAGGACAAAGTAGTATCAGAGGATTTCAACCTCCTAGGACACACAATAGCAGACCTCAAGGTGACTGTTTTGGAAAAGCAGCATTTATACCCCACCACTGAGCAAGAGATTGTTCAAATCACATACATCAAAAGGTTTCAGGCCATCTCAATGGGTTTTTAACACATTACAACCATTAATGGATAAGGTACTTGTAATCTGTTTCACATGTCACTTGCATCTGCATAACCACCTTTCCACCACCACCCACTTTACCCATCAGTCTAGCCACTCTATGCATCTGATGAAAAGAACTGCAGTTCACAAAAGCATATGCCTTTTTAACAGAATTTGTTGGAAAAGGTGCTACAGGGTCCTGATTTTTTACAAAGGTTGTCCCCATCAAAGTACTAACAAAGTCTGACCATAAGATCTAACACAGCTTTCCTCCTAAGATCTCCACAGAAACGGGGTAACCTTATCATGCCCATCCCTCTCTTTCCACATTCTGGCACCTGTGAAGCTTCAGGGGAATGAAGCAATGAACGGAGAGATGCCATTCTTATGGCAGACTCAAATTTTGCAGGCCAAGGTGGATAGATTCAGTTAGTAGCGATGAATGCAGCATTGGAAGAGCTGAAGGACCAGGCTAGGGATAGTTCATCATAGAGAAAATCTACGTGGTCACTAACAGCTGACAACTGGATGGCACAAAAATCAATCAATCAACTTTGCCATCTTTTTTTTCTTTGGATAACATAATGGAACAAGGGAGCTGGCTGAGCTCCAAACAATCCCAGGGCTGTTTTAGACTAAAACTAACCTTACTTTAACCAATTGCTGACTGAGTTTACCTGATTGCACAACATGCTACTTCAACCCACTTGATCCAGTTAAGCGTGCTGGTGGACGCAACCTCAGCCTTAGGCTGAAGGGATCTCATCAGAGGAGATCCCTCTGCAAATGGTAAGTTATATTTATCATACGTCCTGCTTTGACTGGGATTGACCTGGGTTTGCATACCAGCCCGTTTACAAGTCCTGGAAAGTAGGGCAGTACCAACCCCAGAAGGAGCATATGGGTTTAGCCATCTCTTAAAGTTTATGGGCCTTGGCACGCTGCACGGGCAAAGGGGGAACTGAAAAGGTGCTAAACCCCCTGCTGCCGGCTTTACTTGCACAACCAGCTTGAAAATACCGTATAAACCTAGAAATGGAAGTCCTAGGTGGGCAGACCGGGGGTGCGGCTGAGAGCAACTAAAGCGCTGGGGCCACCATATCTGTGGGTCAGGCTGGGTTTGGGAGGCAGTTTGGGGTTTTCTGAGTTTTTAATCGGGACACGCCTACCTTAGGACTTACAGCGCAGTTAACTAGGAGGAAACAATGTCTTCCGTTTTCAGCAGTTAGAGAGGGAGAATCTGAGGGCCCAAAGCTGCCCCGCCCCATATTAAAAAACTTATGTTTGTTCCATTCCTCCAGGAAGCTGCTTTCCAGCATCGCCCCCCTCGCTGAAACGTGGCAACCCAGCCCGGCCTTTTCGAACAACGGGGAGGCAAGAGCAGCCATCCAGGAGCTAGGGAGGGAGCCGGTCCCGTCCATCCCGCAGGGTCCCCAAAGAGCGCGGAAGGAAGGGCGGAGAGCGCGCGCACGTGGCCTGTTTGCCGAGCCAGTGACTGCCGCGCGGGTCTCCTCCTCCCGGGGAAAGCGAATAGGAGAAGGCAAGGGGGGCGCTGGGACCCAGCTCCCGAGACCCCGCAAGAGAAGCGGCGCACGCCCCCGCGCTGCCGCACAAAAGGCCCTGCGCGCGCCGGGGATTAGGAGCGGGTCGAAGCCCCGCCGCCCTTTTCCCGGCTCTCGTTCC